CATCAAGAACAAATGTCTTTTATACTGCGGAGTGTGGATATTTCGGCAACTCCAATAAAAATTGATGAATATTTTTTAGAATTTTAAAAAGTAGATGATACAAGCGGAAAAGGTCTTTTTGAAGTTATTATAGATGAAATAAAAAATATTGGACTTGATATTGATAATTTAAGAGGGCAAGGATATGATAATGGGTCAAATATGAAGGGAAAACATCAAGGAGTGCAAAAAAGACTTCTTGATGTAAATCCTAGATCATTTTATACACCATGTGGTTGTCATAATCTAAATTTGTTACTTTGTGATATGGCTAATTCTTGTACAAAAGCTATATCATTTTTTGGAGTGGTACAACGTATATATTCACTATTTTCATCTTCTACTAAGCGATGGAAAGTATTAAAGGATAGTGTACCTAGTCTAACTCTTAAATCATTGTCACAAACTCGTTGGGAAAGTCGTATTGAAAGTATTAAAGCAATAAGATTTCAAACTCCAAAAATAAGAGATGCTTTATTGAAATTAGTAGAAATTAGTGATGATCCAAAAATTAAAAGTGAAGCTAATTCCTTAGTAACATATGAACTCGAAAATTTTGAATTTTTATTGGGTATGACTATTTGGTATGATATATTATTTGTTGTTAATTCAGTTAGCAAAAGTATGCAGTCAAAAGACATGCATATTGATGTTGCCATAGATCAATTAAAAGGTTTGATTTCTTTTTTTAACAAATATAGAGAAGAAGGATTTGTAACTGCTATGATTTCTGCCAAAGAAATTGCATTTGAAATGAATATTGAATCCGAATTTCGTAAGAAACGTGTGATATCTAGGAAGAAATTTTTTGATGAGAATGTTGCTAATGAAATCTCAAAGTCTCTTGAAGAGTCCTTTAGAGTTGATTACTTTTTATACATTGTAGACAAGGCTATTGTTTCACTTCAAAATAGATTTGAACAATTTGAAGCATATGAAAATATTTTTGGTTTTCTATTTAGTGGTAAAAAACTAAGATCACTAAATGATGGAAATTTAAAAACACATTGCCTTAATCTTGAATTTTTCTTAAAGCATAATAATCAATCCGATATTGATGGTTTAGATTTATTTTCTGAGTTAAAAGTATTAAGGGAAATAGTACAAGTAGAAGATAATAGTTTAATCGATATACTCAATCAAATAAAGAGACTTGATTCTTTTCCAAATGCCTATATTGCTTATAGAATAATGTTAACAATTCCAGTTACCGTTGCTTCAGCGGAAAGAAGTTTTTCAAAATTAAAATTGATAAAATCTTACCTAAGATCAACAATGTCTCAAGAGAGATTAAATGGGTTAGCTATATTGTCAATTGAGAAAGACTTATTAGGAGAAATTGATTATAAGAAAATTATTAGTAACTTTGCATCTAAAAAAGCTAGAAAAATTGACTTCAAATAATAATAAAAAAATTAAAACATTAAGGCCCCTCATTAAAATTTGGCTTTAGGCCCCAAAATACGTCGGGCCGCCCCTGTTCCTAAGATATTGTTCTGGCGATTGTTTAACTCTCCTAACCTCTTCTTCTAACTGCTTCTTGTCCTTACACAAATAGCCAACCAATTTTATTGTTTACTTTTTCTAGCTGGTATACATTGATTATACATATATTATATATTCGCCGACTATTTTTAGTTTAATTAATTAAGTGGATAGTTATTTAGGTTAATTCTTCTTTTTACTAAGTAAGCACTGATATGACTTTATTTATACTTTCTTAATATCTTTTACAATACGAAAGAGATATAAGAATTTGGTAAGATTAAGATCTCAGGTAAATATTAGGTGTGTTTCACTATGTAAGTACTAATAGATTAGATAAGAATTTGACTAGTGAGTCTTGTTACTAAGTTCTAAGGTAGATTTTCTCCTTCTATCATATTTCCACCGGCCGTTGCCGACTTGCCGTAAATATTAATCAAATAAAAAAACATAATCTTCCTTTTTTCTCCTCTATTTCATCCTTTTACATAAATTACATAAACTAAGCATTTCCATTTCAAAATGACATACAAATTTAAATGTCAAAGCATCTTTTAATGTTTAGAATCAATTCTCTTATCGATTCCTTTTTAATTATTCATTACCCGAGATCAATGGTATGACTAATTCGAATTCGCGCCCATAAGAAAAGTGAATGAATCGTCCAAATATTCTTCATTTTCAAGGCTAACTTAAAATTTATCGATAAAAATGAAATAATTTTATTCATCTCACACGCTCCTTTGTTATGGTTAAAAGCACCTAACTAGGGTGCTTATCGGGCGAATCAGACGGATAATTACGCTTAACGGTTTGGCTTCACGTTTATCGGATTATAAATATAGTAATCTGCTAGCCATCCAATAAGATAATTGGCGGATTGGTATCGGATTGACGATTATCGGACGATTTATCGGCTAAACCAAATAGAAATTTTTTGAACAATCAAGTACATACAAGAACTAGTGATAAGGAAGACATAACAAATACGAGCTAATCTATGCAAAGAACATAGTTCAAGTTCATTGCACTGTACAAAATCTAGATGAGCATCCTAAACATGAAGAAAACTAGCTTCATCTATCTTACTACAGATCCATCTAACTTTACTGTGCTATAATATGAGCTAACCGTAAAAGTTAGGGATTTAGCTAGCGTTTGGCCATAGATTCTCAAATTTATTCTGAAAAATCTGATTTGGGTGAAGTTTGGTTTGAAGATGAAAATGTGTTTGGACATATGTTTTGGGTGAAATTTGGTTTGGAAAAACATGAAACATGACTTATACCCACAAGTTTTAAAAACTATCACAAAAACCCAACAATATCATTATCAATAACATTCATTATATTATCGCAAACCATAGTCCTGAACATAAATAAATCTGATACAAAATTATCATTTTTATAATGAACTACATGATACAATATTAGATGACCGAGAAAACGAAGCAACATCGTTACAAAATAATAAATTGTGGGCTCTTTTATAAAATACAAAAGTTTGGAGTAATTTTTAAAAAATATAATAGTGATATTTTGGCCAAAAACCAGCTATTGAGCTGGTTTTGGGATTTGAGATTTGGGACTTGGGATTTGGCCAAAATGTATGCAAAATCTATGGCCAAACATGTGTTTGCCAAATAAAACCCAAGTTTATTTTGGCAAAATCTATGGCCAAACGAGTCCTTAGCCATTTAGGGTTTCAATAGTACTTTATATACATAGGGGTAAAAATATAAATATAAAAATTCTTAGCGGGTTAACGGTTTACCCGATAAGAAAATTGAGTAATTTGCCCCAAACCGTTAAGTCGTTAATTATAAAATCTTAATCCGTTCATCATTCATTACTTCGATAATCCGATACCAATAAGCAATAAGTCATCGGTTTGATTCGGTTAACGGTTTCGGTTCAATTTTGAACAGCGCTACACCTAACTCATATAAAAGGAGTGTATAGAGTCGCATGTGAAAAACAAGTGTTTAAAAGGGAGATATGCGAAAAATTCACTGTGAGCATAACATCTTCGTTTACCTCAAAGAAAGTAGAATGGAAGAAAATACAATCTTCGTACCATTAATTTTTGGTTTGATTACTCTTCAAAGTCAAATCAAACTTTGTTATTTGGTACTTTTTTATAGGAGTAAATTTTATGGCGTTTTGCATCCCAACTATAAACTCTTTACGTTGTCCTGTTCCCAACCCAAAATTAGTTGTTTGACAAATAAGTTCTTTTCAAAATATGTGATGTTTTAGAAATACAGAATTACTTTTTTATAACATTATATTAAAAATTACACTTAACTGTTTCTATTAGTATTGTGTTAATTAAGTATGACATTTAGAATGAGATAAATTTATTACTGGTAGTGTTAGTGAGACCAAATACTCTTAAATTCACAAATACTTTTTAGTAGAAAATTGCGAAAGTTGCTTTTACTACCCCCCCCCCCCCCCCCCCCCCACCCGAATTGAGGGAATAAAAGACTTCCTCCTATTACAATTCGACGGCGGAGAAACCGATTGCGCCAATTTCGCCGGCGACGGTGAGTTGATGAAGAAGATGAAGCAAGTTATAGAGTGCGAGGAAGAGAAGAAGCTTCCGATGAAGCGGCAAATGGACGATGGAGAAACCAACTGCTCAACCTCCGCCGGAGACGGGGACTTAAGGAAGAACCTGAGGCGGAAGCTGAGGCGGTGTTGTTGGATGAGAATCTGACCATGTTATCTTCCTGTTTGCGCAAACGGTTTTTCTTCTCTGAAACTTATGGAATACTGCTTGGATCTTAATAAAGTATAAAATAGTTTATCAGCTGTGAAGAATTCATTACAAGTTTGACGAAACTATAGATTTAAGTACTGATTTCAATAAAACTAACGCGAAACACGGCTCTGTCACTGACTATAAACCCTTAATGTGCTCGCCCTTAAAATTAAAATATTCGAAAAGCATTCATTCTGAATGCGGAGATTGCTTTTCTAAGTCTTGTATCATGTGCTTATCACCTGACTAGGAATTGCTAACGTGATTACTCCAAGTTTTACGTCAACTTAGTTATTTATATAGATTTAATTTCCAATCTCGAGATTAGATTTGCTTCTAAAAGTCGGTGAAATAGTGTGCTTCTCTGTGCTAGTCACTAAGATTCATCTTTAGCTTAATTGATGGAAATGGAAGATCATCTCAAGTCATACACTCAGAGCGAGAACAAATGCTTCTCCACAAAATTCATCAGCATTTTTGTTTCCTCCTTGTTTCTGGTTTTCATCCTTTTTCACATTCAATACTCATCCCCTTTTGATTTCACCTTATCAACGTCCCAAAGATGGGCTTTTCTTTCCCAAGAGAATAACTCTGATGTCATTGAGACCATCACTGCAGAACTCAAAGACTCTGTCACTTTTCTTCCCCTTACGGACCTTAGATTTAGAGAAACGGCCACAACTGGCCACACCTGGTTTATGAGCTCTTTGAACGACACACTCGAGGAAAATGAAGCAGAATACTTGTATTTCCCTTCTAAGGCATCCAAAGGACGGCTTCTTTGCTTTAAGGGACGGGATATTAAGGATGGCACAAAGAATTCATATGTGCTGGCATGGCGAGAAGGTCTTCCCGACTCTGCTATTCTACTGGAAGGCTTAACGTTTGTATCAGACACATATTACGACCACCTAAATCTGTGGCATGGATTATGTGCAATGGCCCCTCTAGTGAGATGGTCAATGAAAAATGAGTGTTTGAAGCCATCAAGATGGGTGCTATTTCATTGGGGAGAACTGAGATTAAGAATGGGATCATGGATTCAACAACTTATGCAAGCGAATTTTGGTGAAGTCAAGGTGGAAGGATTTGATAGAGGAGATGTACCTTACTGTTTTGAGAAAGCCATTGTCACGAGGCATGATCTAGGCCAAATGAGTCTGGACAGTAAGCTGAAGGTGTTCGACCTGCTGCGCTGCAAAGCTAGGAGTTACTGTGGCCTTAATCCTGCAGGCAAAGGTAAAGAGATGAATGAAAGAGGATTTCCAATTATAAGACTTACACTGCTGATGAGAAGAGGTTCCCGCTCATTCAAGAATGCAACTGCTGTGACTGATATATTTGCAAAGGAATGTGCAAGGGTCGAAGGCTGCATTCTGCGTGTAGTTCAGTCAGAAGATCTATCTTTCTGCGACCAGGTACATATTTTCCTCTTTCTATTATCAGTATTGAGTAATTACTCCAGATGAAATAATAGTACTTTACAGAACAAAATATACAACTAAAGCATACCAAGAAACATTGATAGACAAGATTCACATTATTCTGCTTAGAAACTTCAGTAGTATCTGAAATAATGCCAATGTCCTTTATTAGGTAAAAGTGCTGACCAACACTGACATTGTTGTGTCTCCACATGGAGCGCAATTAACTAATATGCTCTTCATGGACCGAGAGAGCAGTGTAATGGAATTCTTCCCAAAGGGTTGGTTAGAGAATGCTGGCCCGGGCCAATATGCTCACCACTGGATGGCGAATCAATCAGGGATGAAACATCAAGGTGCATGGTGGGATTCAATAGGCGAGGAGTGTCCATCTCCACAAGATCATCAACAGTGCTTTCATTTTCATAAAGATGGGATGGTTGGACACAATGAAACCTATTTTGCAGAATGGGCTAGAAGAGTCATTGATCAAGTTAAGCTAAGCAAGGTGGAGCAAGCCTCTGTTGATCAAGCAAACAAGCAACAAAATGATTCAAAAGCATGTGTATGCTAGGCCTTCTGTTAAAGCATTGAATAGAACAACTAAGGGTATATTTTATAAGAGTTAAAATCAAATGTATACACTGTTTTGCCTGACATCATTGTATGGGTCGAAATCCGCCTCAGTACTCAGGATTAAGAAGCATCGAGAAAGGAGTCGGCCGAGGTCGACCAGGAGATGACAAAGTCCGTGGTCGAGATGCGGAAGATGGTCGATGTCAAGTGCCGTAAACAGAGTAGTAACAGTTAGTTTATTAGGGTAGGATATTAAAGGGAATATTCTATTGGATATTTTCTATACCTGTACTATTAGGGTTTATTGGGGGTATGTCCCATATAAATAGAAAAAAAGATAATGAATAGAAGCATGTGATATTCATTGTGATAATAGGAGACTTTACAAAATATTCTCTCTCTTGAAAAGATACAAAGAACACTTTTTTTATCAAGATTCTTGTTCATATTATCCTGCACTTTTCCATCAGTTCCGAGAAAATTTTGTATGTTCTAGGATCTGTCTGTCATTCATCATTGTCAGGAAGAATAATCACCTAGCTCATTATTTATTGCGTGAATCACTCCTCCTATTTACTCAAATGTCATTTATTGCTATTTATTATCAGCCCTCCTTCCATTGTTATTTATATTTTATGACTATTTAATGCTTGCTATTGTCAACCCCATGGTGGATCTGTCCCACATCGCACACGCTTTCAAAACTCGCATATAGATATTTTATCATTAACTAGATTTAACCCATAATTACATAAATATAATAGTTTTAACCGAAAGTTATACTATTTGGTCAAACAATTTAGCGCCGTCTGTGGGGATTATCTAGTTTAATTTTTAGTTTCTTCTAGATTTACAACTGACACCGGTTACTAACGAAAAAAAAAAAAAAGAGTAAGATCTTTTTCTCTCTGCATACATAGACCTAATATGGCAGGTAACAGAGAAGAAAGAATGAGAATAATGAGTGACCTCCCAACCAATCTCACGAACATAATCAATGAGAGTTCTGAAGCAGTGGACAGGGGTGCAACGCCCAATGCCTTTCCATGCGAGGTGGATCACCCCCTCCTAAAGGTGACAGGGGTCCGGTCCGAGTTATTGGAAAAGTTGACCAGTCGGTCACCGAACCGGGTCGGTTACCGATTTTCCCATACCGGGTTTACCGGGTCTGAGTCCATCCGGTTATTTAATGAACCGAAACGGTTCCGGGCCTAAAGGGTCGGCCCTGGCCGGTTTTATTTAATTGTTTTTTGAATTTTGTATAACTACCGTAATTTATATTAAGATAAAATAAAAATATAAAACAAAAAAAATAATGTTATAAAAAGAGTGTTTGAATAAAGGATGCAAATGCTTTAAAATCCTTATATTTGAATATTTCATTAAGAATTTAATATAATAGAATACAATGAAGATGGATAAAAATTGCACTTATAATTTGCATTTTTTTTTTCAAACTTGCAAATTAAAGTTTACATTTAACAACAACTAAATTAACAAAAAAAGAGTAAATTCAAAGTTTAATTATTAAATATAAATCCAGAACTTCAAAGGTTTTGCATTGCCTTAGTAAGTTCTTTGTAATCAATATGAATTTCTTGGTCATCTTCTGGAGTGTTAAATTCAGATGGGTTACTATGTGTTAATATGTCTCCAAGTTTCTCGTCTTCTAGTTTATCAACATCTTCACGTCCCTAATTTCTTCGTTCCGATCTAATCCAATCTCTGAAACATACTAAAACTTCTAAAGCATTGCTTCCCAATGAGTGACAGGTGTCTCCTAGTTGTTGTCTTGCTTGACTAAATACACTCTCTGAGCAACAGTTGAAATTGGCACATTCAGCACGTCCCGAGCCATAGCGGAAAGAACAAGAGATTGCTTTTCATTCTCATGCCACCATCCCAACGGTGAAAATTTCTTTGTGCGAGGCTCTGTTTGCTTTTGTAAGTAGAATTGAAGTTCATTAATGTTCTTGCTACTGGTTTGAGTGAAAGGAAATGTAGACCAAATATTATAACCATCAAGGCCTTCATCTTCATCCATAGTAGCAAATGCAGTAGAAGTAGTACAATGCATAGTGGGATTAATATTGCCTACATTAATAGCATCATCATCAATTATANATATATATATATATATATGGGTTTCAGTTGGTCCAATCTCGATATAAGTATATAAGGCATTGATTAATTGGTGACAATTAGACATCTTAATAGAATGATTTAAAACAACACCAATTAAATAAATCGGAGAAATTAGAAAGAAATATTTTTTGAATTTTACTTGCATTTTTTCAACATCCTTATATTTTTTTTTCTTCTTAAATTCAGAGAGTAGAAAAGAAATTTCAGCTATATGTACTAAAGCCATAGTAACAGTAGGGTAATATGCTCCAGAAAACTGAACAGTAGCTGTATAAAATTTATGTAAAAATTTAACAACATCATTAATGGCTTCCCAGGTATTAGTTGTTAACATATAATTTGGATCAGTACAATGCGCATTAGCAACTTCAGTTATCGGTAATATATATTTGTAGCAATATTTTAAAAATAAGTATGTATAATTCCATCTAGTAACAATTTCATCTGGCATGAATCTGGGTTAAGGTTATGCTCGGTACACTTAGTCTTAAATTTCCTAATTCTAGATTGTCTATTATTTCCTTAAATAACACCACCTGTTCTTTTAACATGAGTAAACTCAGTTGAAAATAAATCAAGCCCACTTTTAACAATTAAATTATAAATATGACATGCACACCTAACATGAAAAATTCGTCAAGTGGTGGTTTCAAATGCAGTCTTAATATTGAAATAGCGGTATTATTGTTAGAACCATTATCAAAAGACATATACAATACTTTTTTATTAAGATTATAAAATTCAACAGCTTCTCAAATAGTAGTACTTATAAAAATAGCAGTATGACTTTGATCTTCATCATATTTAAAAGCGATAATACGTTTTTGCATACAATAATTATTATCTATCCAATGACATGTAGTTGTCAAATAATCATTTTCATTAACATCATGGCCAATATCAGAAGTTAGAGAAACTCTACAAGGAAGTTGGTCAAACAAATAACGTATGTATGTCTAATATTGTCCATGAAGTCTAAAGATATCAGATCTACAAGTACTTCTAGGGATACCTTTAAATAAAGGATTACAAATCCTTTGAATATACATAATAAGATATGATGAAGAAGCAAAAGAAAAAGGTAGACAACGCAAAGCAATCATTTTTGCTAACTCCTCACGATCCTTCATTTTATCATATTTCATAAGTCCTCCAGTACTAGGGTTTAGAGTTCCTTAATTTCATCTAAATCAGAGCACCATTCTATAGGATGAGTAATTCTCAGATGCCTACTAAGTGTCCCAGTCCCCACTAAACTTTCTCCAGCCTTATATTTAAAGTCATCTTTACAAATTTTGCATCTAACTCTATCAGAATTCTCTATTTCCTCAAAATATTTCCAAACTTTACTTCTCCTCAGTGTTGTGAAGAGCATGAAGCGAGAAAAAGCGACAACTCCCATTTCGCTTAAAGCGAGAAGCGAAGCGCTCGCTTTTTTGAAGTGAAGCGGATTTTTAAAAAATAAATTAAAATAAAGAACCGAAGGTAATAAGAACTAAGAATAAAGGATATAAAAATTAGAGGAATTCTCTATTAAAAACTGAGCAGTAATTTTCTGAGAAAGAACCGAAGGTAAAAAAAATATTCGTCAGCATTTCGCTGCTTTTTGGACGTTTAAACAGTGAAAGAAAAAGAATTCCGCAGCTTTTTGGACGTTTAAATAGTGAAAGAAGAAGAAGAAGAAGAAGAAGAAGAAGAAGAAGAAGAAGAGAAGAAGAATAAGAAGAAGAAGAAGAAGAAGAACCCTAGTTGATGCTTTCAGATGCTGTCAGAAATCAGAAGTCGATGAAGAAGAAGAAATCGACCAGTGTCTCTTCTTTAAAACCCTAATCGTTGTTGTTCGATTAATGAAAGACCAGTGTTTAATCACAAAATCTCATTTTTAATAAAATAGGGCTGGATCTGTTTTAAAATACAGAAGCGGGCGCTTCTCTCACTTCGCTTTCTCACTTTTCACTTTTTAGTGTGAATCGGTCGCTTTTCTACACCTGAGTCACTTCACCCTGCTGAAGTGTGCCCCTTCTCGCTTCGCTTCGCTTCTTGCTTAAAGCGAGGAAGCGGGCACTTTTGAAAACACTGCTTCTCCTTCTCTGATTATTAGTCGGGGTCACAAGTGGTCTACTACTAGCGCCACGACTACCACCCCTGCTACCAACTCCAACACTACAAGGTGTAAGTGGTGTCTCATCTTTAATTTCTAATTCATTATCCTCTATATCGAAATCTTCCTGTAATTGTTTATAATCTATATTATTATCAGGTGATATTTCAGAAACGTGTGTAAAGTCATTTAAATTACTACTAGAAGTTGAAGTAGTACTTATTTTTCTATTTCCCTGATTACCCCGATTAGCAACCTTATTATAAACTCTTTTTGCATCATTAAACATATTGTAAAAATTTAGGTACTAACAAAAAATAAATATGCAAATAAATAGTAAATAAAAGAAAGAGTTAGAGGGAGTACACCGAATTCCTCGATAAATTGAACACTTGATGATTTTTGAAGTCTTGAATATTTGAAATTGAATTTCGCAACTCTAATGTTACCACGAAAAACGTCAATTTTCAAAGTTCAAACTTCAAACTTCAAATAATACCNAAAGGGCTATTCTTGCAAAATATCCGTTGGGCAACGGTCAAATTGGAAGCTGACCGTTGCCAACAGTCAAGTTAATTTTTTTTTCAAAACAAATTCTGAAATAGTCGTTGGACCGGTCCGGTTAACCGGTTCACCAGTGAATTGACTTTACCAGTTTAGCCCGGTCTGATTAACCGGAATTTCGAAGCTAGCCGGCTCAACCCCTTACCCCCTCCCCCGAACCCAGCCCTGCCCTGCTCCCTACCTACTAGTCCGGTCCAGTTTAATACCGGTCTGGGCCGGTTCGGAACAGGGTCAAACCGGCCCGTTAAACACCCATACCCCCTCCCCACGG